ATACAACATGTTCTAGAAAATGAAAAGTGTCACGAAACACTGTAAAAATCTAATAAGGAAGACTTGTCAGATTTTATTCACTCACTTATTCAGCCATTCATTCTGCTAAAGAAAACCTAGAGACAAGAGTGAAAATTATAAAAAGGTTTTGCAGCCAGGCAGAGACTCTGGTCCAGAAGAGAAACTTAGGTAGCTCTCAGTGATGAGATTCAAGAAAGGAGAAATGAGGTAGGCCTTTTATACCTAGGAGACTGTCTCTGTCCCACTTCAGAAAGCAAATTGTCTTGAGTGGGTAAATTGGCTGGCCAGATCTGGGCTTTGCTGGCTTTGCAAGCACTGCACTGCCTAGAACACCTCTGCTGTGTAGGTGACATGGAATTATGGAGTCTAGGTGTCTATGCAAGATTTATGAGCTGGGATGATGGCACATGAGTAGAGTATATTGATTGCCCAGTGAAGTTCACAATACTGCAGTGGACTCGGTGACCATGACCAAGTTTACTAATTCATTCAACAAGTTGAATAACTAGACTCTTTATATGTTGCAATACTCCTTAGATGAAGCTGAGCCTCTCATGTGCTTCCATAACACATGACAGTATTTGTCCTATATCAGCTTACTCATTATATTCCAGTGGGGTTTTTTTAATTGCCTATCTTTTTACTCAGCTATAAGGGCCAATAGGACAGGGAACATTTTTATCTTGCTCACACTGCATTCTCTGTATCTAGTACAGTACTGGTCACAAAGTAAATATTTGATGAATATTCTATGAAAAAAATAATGAGACTGTAAGCAAGACACTGTGCTAAGCAAGGAGATGGAGCTAACTGGAAGATAAAACTAGAACTCATAGTCTGTGAAAAGACTATAGGAACTGGGGTGGAGCCAAATTTTGTGAAGACAAAAGCTTATGCAAACTGGAAAAATCCATTTAAGAAAAGGGTATAACACTATAAACACAAAATTAAGCACTTTGTCTTAGAAGAGGTTCATGTAATTTGGGGACTTGAAAGCTTAGATTTCATTACTTTATAGTAAATGCATCTTTAGTGGTAAGTGAATTAATGTACCAATTACTATAGATTCTTTGAACACAAATAAGAGATCTCTGCAAGGGAAAATCCAAGATTTCATAGAAGGAATAAATTATGAGCTTGATCCTACAGACAGAAACAAAGGAAAGGGATCACAGAGGGACCAAACATGTGATAAAGCACACAGGTGAGAAAGGTAGAGCTTGTCTACAATAATGAGAAATACTATTTGGCTAGCATAGGGTTGGGTAAGGAAAGTTTAGGATAGTGATTCTTCAGAGAGTGATATCTGGCCAGCAGGATCAGGAACTTGCTAGAAATGTAGATGTTCAGGATCTAGTTCTGACTTACCCAATGAGAAACTCTGGCGATAAAACCCAGAAATCTAATCTAATGTACATATATTTTTGCAGTGCTGAGAATCCAATCTGGGGTCTTGGGCATGACAGGCAAAAGCTCTACCGCTACACCTCCAGCCCCAGAAATGTGTATTTTAGCAAGATCTCCCCATGATTTGATACATGGAAATTCGAAAACCAAATATACTTAAGCATCAGATGAAACTATTTTATTTCTTACAAATTTAATTTCAGGCTATTACACAAGGCAGAAAGAAACAAGTAAAAGAAGCCACAGAGAGAGAGAGAGAGAGTATGTGTGTGTTTATTTCAATCCCCCAAGTAAATTCCAACCAGATATTGCATAGAAGAAAAGATTATCTTAGCATAAAGTCAATAACAGAACCAATAAAAGATTAATAGACTTGATTTCACAACAATTTGTACCACTAACAACATGTAAAAGCAAATAACAAACTAAAGAGAAATATATGCAACAGCTATCACAGATAAAAGGCTATTTTTCGGGGGGGGGGAGTTGTTTTGTTTTTGTGGTGCTGACATTTGAACTCAAGGCCTCACACTAATTTTCAAAAAAAAATTGCTTTTGGCACTACTCACAATAGAACCACAGCCACCTGCAATGCTGGGCAAATACCCCATTAGTTGAGCTGTTGGAAAAAATCTCTGGATTAATGAGTAAGACTCAGGAGTCAGTCAGCAAGACAAACAGCTTTTATTTCTGCAGAAGAGTGTGCAACCGAAAAGGTCTGGTAAGCAAGGTCTGGGGAGTCTGCTGGGCTTTTTAATCCCTGACACAACACTGCCCCCTTCTCCTATTGGTAGGAGTCAGGGTTCACAGTCTTTCTTGATTAACTCTAGATGAGGTAAAGGGCAAGGTTAACATTTAACATTCCAGGAAGCCGCAAGTTAAACAAGTATAAAGGGCTGCTGCTTTTAAATGGATTTACCTGGGTTGCTATTTCTTTGAAGGAAAAGACAGGTTATCCCCCACAGAGCTACACCCCAAACTTCTTTCTTTTTTATTGTTTTTGAGACAGGGTCTCCTTATCTGGCCTGGAACTCATGATCCTTCTGCCTCCACCTCCCAAGTAGCTGGAATTACAGACATGTGATATCATGTCTGGCCTTAAAATTTTAATTTTAAAAAAGACAAACAGCCTATAAAAATAGGCAAGAGACATAGACTGAAAATTCATGAAAGAAATATAAATAGCCAATAAAACACATAGTACTCAATTTCACTCAAAAACACATATTAAAACGGAAGACTACATTTTACTTACCAAATTGGCAAAGCATTTTGAAGGATGGAAACAACTTAAATATCCACTATTTGTTTCATGGTACCATTAACATTTTAATGGCATAAGGAATGTTCACGCTATATTAACTAAAAATAATATAAACACTATAAACAATAATATTCTAATTTTGAGAAAAATGTGTATGTACATAGGTATAAAAATAATGGACACTGGGCACTTGTGGCTCATACCAGTAATCCTAACTACTAAGGAGGCAAAGATTAGAAGGATCATGGTTCGAAGCCAGCTTGGGCAAATAGTTCATGAGACCCTATCTCGAAAACTACCCAACCAAAAAAAGGTTGGTGGACTGGCTCAAGTGGTAGAGCTACTGCCTAGCAAGTATGAGGCCCTAAATTCAAATCCCAATACTGCCAAAAGAAATAAAACATGGAAAGTGAAAAGACATAGGACAAAACATTACCATTGATCATCTCAGGGTTGTAGGATTATGGTAAAGTTTTCTTTTGCTCTTTAGACTTTTTATACTTTTCTGTTATCTCCATTATGTTATAAACACCTCTCCTTTTTCTAATCAGGAAAAAATTAAGTTATTCTGCTAGTATGGCAAAAGTTGGATGAGTAACAAATATTCCTAAGAAATATTATAGTATTTATAGTTATTATAGCATTTATAGTTACATATAACTATATGTATAGTTGTTTATGTATTATATAGTGTTTATAGTTACAGTAGTATTTAACAAACTCAACAAGACAGTACTCTTTTGAGAAGTCAAAGTTTTCCCTCACTGCCACCTCCCTTGGACGAGAGACCTAAAAATGAAACTGGAAAGCATACTCCAGCCAATCAAAGAACTTTGTAAGTTGCCTGTGACTTGCAACAATGTTACATAACATCTAAATGCTGTAATGCTTTTCTAAATGGCAAACCAGATAAGGTTTTTGTTGTTGTTTTTAAGGGATGCACTTGAGTGGGGAAGGGAAAATGTGTTTACTTGACTACATAATACTTTCGAATAAAACTCCATCCTGGAATGTAGACTGACAAGAGGCTATGTGCGAGCCAAACTCTTATCTAAAAATAAATGGTCGCATGACACCCCCTTGTGGCTTCCATTGTGTTTAGATCGGAAACAAGAGAATCCCCAGAGAGGGAGAGGAGGATTTATACAAACATGTATCAATCATGTATCAATTCCCTATTCAGTGCCAGGTACTAAGTATACTAGGATTAAAAGATACTTGTATATCTCTGTGCTATTGGAGTGAGTACATCCATAAGAATAATGAGGTCACAGAAACTGAGTGTCACAAACAAATAACGTGTCTTTCAAATACTATGTGGCTTTATTTCCTGAAAGACAGTGACTGGTTGATTGGCATGTGATGAACACACGCACACACAGGGCAGCCTTGACTTTCTAAGTGACCTTGGACAAGTGACAGTCTGCGTGGGCCTCATTCATGCACTAAATAGTTATTCGGACCTCGTATATTTAAGTCTACAAAAATGACTAAGTCTTCAGACCCACAACCTCACTTTTCTAATCTGTAAATTAGACTGGGGAGTTGGGGTGTAGCTCACAGTGTGTGCTTTGCATGTACCAAGTCCTGTAGTCCATGCTCAATACCACGGAAGGGATAAGAAGGAACATAAGAAAATAAAGAATTAAATATTATGACCATGCTTTACAGAAATGATGATATGCAATGGCTGAGGAAGCAAAGCCCCAGCCCCAGCGATCATTTTAAAAAACGTGTTCGCAAATTTATTTGTGGTCATTTAACTTAACCCTTTCCACAGCAGCTCCTAGACAGAACCTCAAGGTCGAAAAGGAGTTTAAATCATAAAACCCAATCCCCTATAAAAACCTCATGTTCATTCCATCAAGATTGCTTGAGCCGAGGACATGGGCTGAAACCTAATGCCGACTCAAGATCTTCAAGAGTTTCGCTTTCTGGCCCAGTGGACAGTGTGCCAGCCCTGTGTGGTTCTTTGCTGCGGACCTCATAAAACACTCACGGGGTCCTGGTCCTTTCTGTCGCCCGCACATTTCACGGTGAAATGCCCGAGCAAGGTCATTGAGTCCTACCAGGGGAGGAGCAGCGTGGGAAGAGCTTCTGCAGCCCCTTCCATCCACCGAGGCCCGGGCGGCGGGGCGGCGGGGCGGCGGGGCGGCGGGGCAGCTCTGCAGTGTGGAAGCCCGCTGCGCTCCGAGAGAGGGGCGGCACGTCTCCGCGCCGGAAAGGAGCGCGGGCCCCTGGGTCACCCCCGGGGCTGGAGGCCGGTGGTCCCTCCCAGGCTCCGCGCCCCTATCCCCACCCCCATCCGTCTCGTCACCTCCCCGCCCTCCTACTTGGCCCCTGAGGTGCGCGGCGCAGGCGCAGACCGAGGACGGGAGTACGGCCGCGCAGCCTGGGCCTGGGGCCTGGCGGGTGAGGCGTGGGGCGCGCGGGAGGGAGCGGGGCGCACCCGGCACTGCGCCTGGGAGCGCTGGGGCCGGCGCGGCGTTGCCCGCTGTCGTGCGGCCGCCTCCAGCTCCAGCCTGAAGCCACCGCCCGGGTGCCACGCTGGGCCGGCCGAGCCCGGGGAACCGGTGAGGTGAGTGTGAGGGAGGAGCGGCCCGGGCGCTGGGCTGCTGCAGGGGACGCCGGCGCGCGCGCATCTTCCAACGGGAGCGGGCAGGACAGGCCGCCGGCTACCTGGAGCCGAGACGCTGCCTGGGTGTGACGGCGGGATGGCGCCCACTCCCCTTCCCCACCCGCATCGGTGCCAGGCCCTGCGCCTGTTTCCCGGGTGTCGCCCTTGGGATCGGGGTTAGGGGTCCCCTCGGTTCCAGCCGCTGGCGCTGGGCTCCGGCGGAGCGGGCGGCGGGCGCGTGCGTGGCGCTGGGGCGGGGACGACGACGGCCTTCCGACCGGCATGTGGCCTGCGGCGGGGACACGCTGGCCCCCCGCCCAGCCCCACCGCCCGGCCGCCGCACCGCGACCCTCGGTGTCCCCGCGGCGACCTGGACCCGCGGGCATCGGGCTGCGCTACGTGCTCCGACCCGTTGGTTCGGTGCTTAGAAAACCCAGTGGTTTTAATGCAGCCTGGGGACACGAGGAAGTCGTAGCTGTTCTCTATAGACCGAAAAAACAGCTATGCACAAACGGTATTTCAGTAAATACCGTTTATTCAGTCTAAAGTGGACGTGTGGTGGGCTCTAGTTCATACTCTCCTGAAACATTTTGTTGCCATTCTTTTAAACTCCGGAAAATATATACTTGCTTTTGTGGAAGGGGCAAAAAAAAGTGTAGCTCTTTTAAAGCTCATTGAAAACAGCTTTTCATTGTATCTTACTCGCATTGGGAAGGAAGACTACTTAACATTGCATAAAAGGCCTTTAAAAAGGTTCGTCTCTTTCATTGCTGGCTGCCTGTTGTGTGCATTGTTTTGTAAATAGACTTACTTGGTTGAAAAAAATGACAGGTGCAAAGGTGCTGACATGTATCTTGTACGATGCTTTTTTTTTAAGAGTAATGTTTCATATGGCATGATCCCATATTTTTGTAAACAGAAGGTGTACATGGTTATTTTAGCATAGAAAAAAAGTGTATGTATATACACCAAGATGTTAGCAGTGTTTTTATCCAAGTGAATGGATTTTAAATGATTAAATTTAATTTTTTTTAATGTCCTGATTTGTCCTGCAGTGACATATGTATGTAGTTTTGTTTAATGGGGGAAAGAATGAGAAGTTGCTTGGGATTCAGACTATGGTAAGGAAGAACTAATAAACAAATGTTTATATGACATTTCTGAGTAAAAAGCCAAAATTTCTTCATTCAGGCAGTTATCACACAAAAGGCCCAATAAGTTGTTTGCTTAAATGATGTTTGCTTCATTTGTGGTTATGAGTGGGCATTTTCCACCATTCTAAAAAGAGGTAAAAGGAGTAAGCTTTTGGCTCTATTCAGCCCTAAATAGGGGTCTTCCCCTTCCTGATCAAAGTTGGGCTTTTTTTTTTCTTTTTCTTTTTCTTTCAGTAAAGATTCATTAGGACACTGCTAAGAGAAGCAGTGGGCATCTGAACAACAAGGGAGTTGTGCTGCCTCAAAGTGACTTTACTCATCCCACTTAACAGTCCTAACTCCAGGCCAGCTTGCAACATTCATTTTAATACCATCCTTGGTTTCTTTTTCTTTTTTATTGAGGTTCTAAACAACTTGAAATATGTTCTGAAATATGAAAAATGACCTTAACATGTTTGGCTGACAGTTTTCTGTAATCTTTACTCTTAGAGTATATACTTCGTTCTCTTTTCTTACTTTTCTTGCAGCAGTAGTGGCTTATGAATTCAGGACCTTGTGTTTGCTTGAGCCCAGCCTCTGTTAGAGTTATATAAAACATAAAGTGTGAATCTTTTGGCTATATGAATTCTGGGAAAGTATAAGAGAGGTCTTAGGAATAAGTCTTGGAGTTTTAGTTTATTACAGAAAGGTGAAAACAGCTTTTTTTTTTAAATGCACTGGACTGGGATGGTAACTCAAAGAATGTTATTTATGTTGTTAGGTGAGGCACTTTACACATAGGTATCATTTCTATAAATTTCATGTTGTCACTTTGGAATTTTAAGGTGATTACCTTTCCCTTCTACTTGATGGCTGGGTTACAATTAGAAGTAAGATGTAACTTGCTGGTAGGCAGTGCTTAGCAATAAAAATTTCCTCACATGTAATTAGCTATTCTATGTCCCAGAGTCAGGAGGCAAGTATTTTTCATCTCTGGTTCTGCTACATCTTAGTTGACTTAACTTTCACTGGGTCTGTTTCGTCATCAGTAAAATGAGGTGGGTTTGATAGTAAGCCATTGTGTGTACTTCATAGGATTGTTTGTGAAGGTGAAATAATATTCTAGGAAGATGTTTAATAAATGAAAAGGCACTATTTTACTACTGTATAGTCACATCACATACAATGCTGATAGACCCAGAACTTAGTAACACAACAAAAATAATATGTGCATCCCAAGTTCTTTACCACTAAAAATGAGAAAGTCACTTTGATAATAAGAAAAGCATATGAGACTGCAATTCTAGCCGGGTGCCAGTGGTTCACATGTGTAATCAGCCTTGGGAGGCTGAGAGTAGGAGGATTTTGGTTCCAGGCCACCCCAGGCAAATGGTTCCCAAGACCCCAGCTCCAAGATAACCAAAGCAATATGGACTAGAGGTGTGGCTCAAATGGTCAAGCACCAGTGTTGCATGTCTGAAACCCCAAGTTCAAATCCCAGTACTACCAAAAAAAAAAAAAAAAAAAAAAGACCGCATTTCTGTTTCTGACATTCTTTCCCTATCCACTGCTAAGTGGACAAACTTCGAGATGCAATTGGTAGTTCTTATTCTGACACGAATTTATTTGAATTGGGCCGGTCCTTTTATCTCCCTATTTCCAGAACTAAAATAAAACACAGGCTTAAAAATTGGTTAGCTCTTTGTTCAAATCCCAATCCCACCATTTATTGAATATTCAGCTTTTGACTTAAAGCTTTGCTTTAGTTTGTTAATCAATAACCAGGTGTAAATAATGACTGAGAAGGTGTTGTGGAGTTTGTATAACACAGTCCAGTATGCTATTGGTGCTTAATAAATTGTTGTTATTTTAATGTGTAAGAACCTAAACAGTTTCATGGCTGTGATTCATTGTTTGCTGTCCTTTTGGCTGAATAAACTGATGCAAATTTATATTCCTGTTTTGATATCAAGATATAGGTATAGCTTTAGAAGATCAATTCATTTCAAAGAAATATGAAGGATTTATATGTAGTCTCATTTGTCAAAAAGTATCTTTTAGTATGCAGTAAAATATTAAAAAAATTATACCTGAATTAATTCTTTATACCTTTCCAATTAGCTAAAAAATCTGGTAATATTTTATTCTTGAATCTTAGAAATGAGCCACATTTTTGCTTATATGATTTTTGGTGTGTTTTACTTACAGGCATTTTTTTACCATCGTGGAAACTTACATGTAACTAATTTTTCCTTGCTGCAGTATTAAGAATTATACCAAGTAAGTGGAATATAGTGAAACTAATTGATTAATTTTGTAACAGTTCATGAGAATTTAATTATACAATGTTTGCCACACCTTTTCTGTTCTCTGCAGAATCTTGAATGTGACCTCAGAAATAAGAGAAGGATTTTTGCCAGGTGTGGTGGCTCAGGCCCCTGACAGATTGAGGTTCAAGAACAGCCTGAGCAAAAAAAGTTAAGACCTCATCCCAAAAACTAAGCCAGATGTGGTGGTGTGTGCCTGAGGTCCCATCTGCTTGGGCAAAGTGCAGAGCCCTATCTGAAAAATAATTAAAGCAACAAGGGATAAGCTAAATGTCAAGTTGTAGAGCACCTGCCTAGCAAGCTCAGGGCCCTAAGTTCAAACACCAGTACTGCCAAAAAAAATTCCTAATTGTGGGAAATGTAATGCCATAGGCATAATGGCTTTTTAAATATATGTATAAAATAGTTTAAGCATAGAATTTGTTATAATTATCCAGTTTTTTAAATTTCATCAGCACTTGAAAAAGAATTTATCTTGATAAATATGAAAACATGAATCAGCTTCCTGATACAAAGCTTGATACAAAAGTAATCCAAAGCTGGGCACTGGTGGCTCATGTCTGTAATCTTAGCTACTCAGGAGGCAGAAATCACGAGGGTCACAGTTTGAAGCCAGCCCAAGCAGAGTTCTGCGAGCCCCTGTCTCAAAAAACCCTTCACAAAAATACAGCTGGTGGAGTAGTTCTAGGTGAAGACCCTGAGTTAAGCCCTAGGGTTGCAAAAAAAGTAATCCAAAATATAGATGGGGCATTGTATAATATTGCTCTCAAAAGGTTTATTTTCACATGGTATAAACGTTTCTTATTGTGAATACATTATTTTGTTAGAAAGAATTTTTATTATATTAACAGTTATTTGTGCCATATTTATGAATTTTTTCCTTTTTTAGATTGAAAAGATATGAATGAGTATCCTAAAAAAAGAAAAAGGAAGACTTTACACCCTTCTCGTTATTCAGGTTAGTGTATGATTGAATTATTTTGGGTCAAGAATTAATTTATACAAATTTTACTCCCACCCATTTTCTCATAAATGAGTAGATCAGACTTAAATATCTGAGGAGGGAATTGAGGGAGGATGATGGAGGAGGTAGATATATCCAAGGTACATTGTAAGCATACATGGAAATTTCATAGTAAAAGCCCCCTGTACAATTAACTGATGCTAATAAAAATGCTTTTTTTTAAAGATTTAAATATCTGGATCAATTTTTAGATAAGAGAACACTTTTGACTAAATATATATAAATTCCTCACTGTCTACCATGTATTTGAGACATATTAGAAGTTCACAAACATTATTTAATCTTCATAATATGGATTATAGATATTTAAAATTAGATGTCTGGTTACTTACAGCATAATTGGGCTTTACCTGTCAGGTTCCCAAGCTGTGTTTAATAAACAATGACAACTTAGCTGGAAAGCATTTTGCATTACTTGAGGGAACAAAACTTTATCCTATATGTTATTTTCAGAAATATGAACTTTTTCATTTATTTATTTATTTTAACTTTCCACTGTATAATCTGTGATTGAGGTCGGCTCTGCTATGTTCACAGTGTTAGAAAAGAGGTCTCCATGTCCATCTCTCATACACCTTGCAAACACTTGGGATAGTCTCTGATATACCTATTAGCTTACTCTATGCATGTATTTTTCATATCTGAGGAAATTAAGCCTAGTCTACTGCTTACTGGTGCTTTCCAGGTAGGACTTGAAATGAATGTGTTCAGAAGCCTTCATTATTCCTCAGGCCATTTCCTCTATGTATTTCACTGTCTTTGTACTATAAGGGATACCTTTCTTGCAGTTCTCCTAGTTAATTCACTATTCTATGTAGTTTACAAAGCATTTATTACATATTTATATTTTGTGAGATTCTAATTATATATTCTGTGTTTTAAAGTTACTTTATAGATGCATATATATTTTTGTTTGTTTGTTTTTTGTTTTTTAATTTACTGGGGTTTCTGAGTCAGGGTCTTAACTATGTAGCCCACACTGGCCTGGAACTTACTATAGCCCAGGCTGGCCTCAAACTTGCAATCTTTCTTCCTTCTGCTCTTGAGTGCTGGGATTATAAGTATGAACCACCACGCCCAGCTCCTCAAAGTTAATTCTATTTTACTGTTCTTTTAAAACTAAACATTATAAGAGACCTGAAATATAAAAGCTTTAAAACTTGAGGAAATATATTTTCATTAGAGATACTGTCATTAAGACCATGAAAATTTGGGTTGGGGATATAGGTTAGGGTAGAGCATTTGCCTATCATGAGCAAGGCCCTGGGTTCAATCCTCAGCATGTGGGAGGAAGGAGGAGATTTTTAATACGTTAGATAAAAACATGTCTTATTAAATGGATGTATGTTTGCTGTGTTTGAAATTTTATTTATTGTATTTTATGTTTAGACTCCTCTGGAATAAGCAGAATTGCAGATGGATTCAATGGAATTTTTTCTGATCATTGTTACAGTGTTTGTTCTATGAGACAGCCAGACCTAAAATATTTTGATAACAAAGGTATATCTCATATTTTCCTAAATATTTTTCTTTAAATTGTTTTTACAGGGCCTGGAGGTACAGCTGTGTGTTGAAGTACTTGCTTAGCATTGTGCAAGGCCCTGGGTTTGATCTTTAGCACTGCAAAAATAAGAAAGGAAAAAAAATGGTTTTGCACATTTCTATTTTTTCCTTATTTGAAAAGATAGGTGAAATGTGGGTTGATGATTTCAAAGCAGGAAAATATTTGAATTTGTTACAATGTCAGAAAACTTTTTTAAAAAGCTAGTAAATAATTCTCTTCTAAAATATCGTTTTCATTTTTTAAGCACACGTCTAAATCTTTTCTAATTAACTAGGAATTGGTGGCAAAGCAGGAGTGACCCAGAATTGTGAGCATTTATGGTCAACAGTGAAGAATGGTTTTACCCACACTTCTTCCACTCAGCTGTGCCTCTCGGTCTAGAGGGCGAATAAAAGGAAACAACAGAGGATGGTTTAGTTTTATCTTACATCTTCTATTGACTCCTCTTTATTAGGGCATTGGGTAAAAGATAACCACTTGTTTTTACTGTCTTCTTTCTCTGCAACCACTGGTGCTCCTAATCCTTTGGTCCTCTGTTACAAGAAACATGAATTATAAACATCATATAGTCAGAGACATTAGTATAACTCAGGTTTAGCTTAATATAGATTCAGATAGCTATATAAAGAAATTTTTATAGACATGTGTCTATATCTATGGTAGTCTATACACACATTTTTTTGCTCTGTTAGCTGAGAGGGCCTAAAAGAAGTGACACCTCAGTAGCAATGAGCACATTTTGTGCTCAGATCTTGGTTTCTACTACTGTTCTTAAGTAAAAGGATTTAAGATCCCTGGAGAGATGGTTGATTCTCTGTCTAGAGTAGGAAATACAGAAGATGAGCTTGGAGCATCTTGTAGTGCTAAAAAAAATAGGGAAGTACTTAAAAAACAAAAACATGCACACACTTGGTAAGGAGCCAGTTGAAAAGCTCTCAGTAGCCAAAGCTGAAATAATTTGAGAAAAAAATGAATTATCACTAAAGGACAAGTTAAATATCTATGAGTGCAAACTGATAGAAATGTTGAATAAGTAAGTAAATCAGGGAGAGGAGACAGATTCCTGTACAGAAGAATTCTGAGTTATGTATGTTATTATTTTCTCCCTTAAGGAAGTGGAACCTAACTTTTCATTCCTTAATTATGGACTGCACATAGTGATTTCCTTCCAAAGGGTAGAGTATGGAAAGTAAAAGACTGATTTACAGTGAAGCCTAAGTATTGTCTTAGTCAGGTGGTCAAGGTCAACTCAGCAGTTATAAATCATGTTGATAGTATATACTATTGATGTGATGAAAATTTCAGTTGGCCTCTGGGATCTACCTACCAGGAACTCATAATTCCAATCTAATCATGAAAAAAAATAGACAAATTCTGTTAGTGAGACATTCTACAAAATATCTGACCAGCAGTTTTCAAAAGTCATCAGTGACCTAAGAGACGAGACAACTAAATGTAATGTGGGATCCATGGAGAGAAAAAGGTCATTAGGTAAAAATAGGAAATCTGGGTGACATGTGGACTTTGGTTAGTAAGTACCAGAAATAATGTGTCAGTCATTGGTTATAACAAATATACCAAAGTCTTTTTAAAAACAAACTAAATCATGTTGCAGTCCAGTTTTCTCTGTTTACCTATATTTCAGTTTCCCTGTGCTAACCTGGGGAGTTTGAGGCTGTGCTGAAGATACAAAATTTTATTCCAACCCAGTAACTTGAAATTCCAAAGTTCGACAAGTATATTCTAGTCCAAATGGGACACAGAAACAAAAGCAGATGCTTATTTTGGTAGATTTTCTATATCTTTGGAATATATAGATAATATCTCCTTTCATAACTAAATCTAAATTCTAAGTTTCTATGTGCAAATTCAAAATTATGTTAAAAACAATTAGTGCAGAGGAGGGGCAATAAAAGAGAATGGTGAGGGGGTGAATTTGACTAAGATACATTGTAAGCACTTTTGTAAATGTCACAATGTACCCCCAGTACAACAATAATTAATAATAAAATTTTTTTTAAATGAGGACTTATATGATAAAACAATTGGTGGTTTATTTTACAGTAATGTCTAATGCTTTGATATAATTAATGAGTTTTTTTCCAAATCCCTTTTTACAGATGATGATTCTGATACTGAGACATCAAATGACTTGCCAAAATTTGCAGATGGTGTCAAGGCCAGAAACAGAAATCAGAACTACCTGGTTCCCAGTCCTGTACTTAGGATTCTAGACCACACTGCCTTTTCTGCAGGTTAGGAAAATAATTAATAACATTGGCATATTTTATATACCGCAATGAGAAAACTGCATGTGCCATAAATTTCTCTTTACCTTGTATCCTCTAGTAGGTTTTATTTAGTAATAGTAATATAACAATAGGTTTCTTTTTTTTCCAGAAAAGGCTGCTGATCTTGAAATCTGTGATGAAGAATGTGACTCACCTGAATCAGTCCACCAGCAAACTCAAGAGGAGAGTCCCATAGAAGTTCACACCTCTGAAGATGTTCCAATTGCCGTGGAAGTGCATGCAATTTCTGAGGATTACGACATAGAGACAGAAAATAATTCCTCTGAAAGCCTCCAAGACCAAACTGATGAAGAGCCACCGGCTAAACTCTGTAAAATCCTGGACAAGAGCCAGGCTTTGAATGTGACTGCCCAGCAGAAATGGCCTTTGCTGAGAGCTAATAGCAGTGGCCTCTATAAGTGTGAGCTTTGTGAATTCAACAGTAAATATTTTTCTGATTTAAAGCAGCATATGATCCTGAAACATAAACGTACTGACTCAAACGTGTGTCGAGTGTGCAAGGAAAGTTTCTCTACCAACATGCTTCTGATCGAGCATGCCAAGCTCCATGAAGAGGACCCTTACATCTGCAAATACTGTGACTATAAGACCGTGATTTTTGAGAACCTCAGTCAGCACATTGCAGACATCCACTTTAGCGATCACCTGTACTGGTGTGAGCAGTGTGACGTGCAATTCTCCTCCAGCAGCGAGCTCTACCTACATTTCCAGGAGCACAGTTGTGATGAACAGTACTTGTGTCAGTTCTGTGAACATGAAACGAATGATCCAGAAGACTTGCATAGCCATGTGGTAAATGAGCACGCATGTAAACTGATAGAATTGAGTGATAAGTTTAACAATGGAGAGCACGGACAGTATAGCCTCTTAAGCAAAATTACCTTTGACAAATGTAAAAACTTCTTTGTGTGTCAAGTATGTGGTTTTCGGAGCAGACTTCATACAAATGTTAACAGGCATGTTGCTATTGAGCATACTAAAATATTTCCTCATGTTTGCGATGACTGCGGGAAGGGATTTTCAAGTATGCTAGAATATTGCAAGCATCTAAATTCACATTTATCTGAAGGGATTTACTTATGTCAGTATTGTGAATATTCAACAGGACAAATTGAAGATCTTAAAATTCATCTAGATTTCAAACATTCAGCTGAGTTACCTCATAAATGTAGTGACTGTTTAATGAGGTTTGGAAATGAAAGGGAATTAATCAGTCACCTTCCAGTCCATGAGACAACTTGACTGTTCTCTATACATAATGTTTATGTAAAATAATAAATTCAATTTTTTCAGAGATGTTAAAATGATTTTAAATACACTTATGAGATTTACCTTTGACAAGTTTTTAGTTCATGTTTCTTGGCATTGCCACAGTTTTCAGTGTATAATTAATGTCACTTTCACTGTGGCACTTTCGGTCTCATGGTAGCCGATGTAATCACTCTTGGTGACTGACTGTCCTACCATTTCTTACATGCGCTCCAATTTCATGAGCTGAAAAGAAACAGACACATTGAAGGAACTGCCATTTTCCTTCCTTAACCATTGGTGTACTATTAACTTTTCTTTTTTAAACTCAAGGCAAACTTGGTTTTTCCTGTATGAGATCATTAAATTACTGCACTATCAGAACTAAAGGGCAACATAATTTATATTTAAGTCCATTCATACATATAACACTAGAAAGCCAGCATTATAGTAGAAAGAAAAGTACAATTTTGAGTTCCTCTGTGTTGCATAATTTAAGATGAGGGGTGGGAAAGACTGGTAAGGGATTAGATGTTAAAATTTAACTATTCCATACATCATTCATAACCCATTGACTTTCATCTTCAGTTATGAAACTGTATGAGGACATGCCCAAACTTCTTATATCACATTGGTTTTTTGTTGTTGTCTTTGGTGGTACTATGGTTTGAACTCAGGGACTTAACATTTGCTAGGGAGGTACTCTACCACTTGAGCCTTGCTTCCAGTTCTTTTACACTTTAGTTATTTTTCAGATTGCAAGAGGCCAGCCTCAGACTGCAGTCCTACCCACAGCCTCCTGCATAGCTTAGATTGCAGGCATGTACCACCATGCTGGGCTTATTGATTAAGAGGGGTTCTTGCTAACTTGCTCTGGTTGGCCTCGAACCCCAATCCTCCCAAGTAGGTGAGGCATGAGCCCCACCTTCAAATTGTTTATTGACTGAGAAAACCCACCAAAGTAGTAACAGAGGATGATTTAGGAGATAAGGAGTTGCTGCCAAAATACTATATAAATTACTTCTGCTAATGATAAAACAGTGTTACCATATATATTAGTTTCCTGTGGCTGCTGTAAAAAATTACTACAACCTAGATTGTTTATAGCAGAAATTTATTGTCTCACAGTTCTGAAGGCCAGAAGTTCAAAATCAAGGTATTAGCAGAGGTAGTTCCTTCTGAGGAGTAGGAGGCAAGGATCTGCTCCTAACCTCTATCCTAGGCTTACAGATGGCCGTCTTCATATGACACTCTTCCTACATTCAAGTCTCCCAAATTTTCTCTTTTTAAAGGGATACCAGTAATAATGTATTAGGACCCATTCTAACAACTTCATTTTAACTTGATAAAGATCATATCTCTAAATATATCACATTCTCAGATACCAGGGGTTAGGACTCTAACATGGTATTTAGGGGAACACAATTCAATAAGTAGCTTAGGAAGTAATATCAAGAAAATAGAATGTGTATCACTCAAATTTTACAAGCATTGCTGCTAACAATATTGCCCAGATATATTAATAGAGTTGAAAAGAAGAATTTATGATCAGTGTTTTCCCACTCCAAGAACCATGGAAGAGCTGGTGGAGTGGCTCAAAACAGTAAGAGTGCCTGCCTAACAATGCATGAGGCCCTGAGTTCAAACTCTGGTGCAGCTAAAAAATAATAATATGGGGATTTATGCTATTTTGAAAATGGTGACTACAACAAATATTCTCAAAACCCATCACTTTTATTTCTGTTTTGTCATATTAGAAACTCACATTCTGTCTGATTATAACTTTCCTGATAGGGCTGTCCTGATACAAATATTTCTCAGAAGATGTAAAATTTTAGCAGTTTGAATTGTAAGTAAACCTTAGAAACCATCTTATGTAAATAGTCTGGTTTTCTGTTTCCTTGAGAAACAGAAGCAGGTTGTTAACAAGGCCAAAGGCACATAGCCAATTGCAGCATCCAGGAGTGGAATCCAGGTTATTTGGCTTACAGCCTGGCCATATTTCCATTACACCATACTGCATAAATCAGATCTTTGTCCTTGTTTTTCCTAGCTACTTCACCTAGCCATTCGCCTAGCTTCTTGATAATTGTTACGGTTTTTGTTCTACCTCTAACTCCAAGAATTTGATTTTCAGGAAGCAAATCTTGAGTAACACTTTGGCTTTTAGAAAATCAGTTCACTTCTTTTCATTTGATAAAGTTATCAAATGAAAGACATTGTAGTGAAAGTACTCAAGAGACATAAACTCAGGCTTTAAAACCATATAATTTTGTACTTTTTTGATGAATGCAACATGAAGCCATATTCCCTTGAGTTTGTCCAATAAAACTTTTTCACTTGTGACTCAGGTTTCAAAACAAGTCTATGATTGACCATAAATCGTCTTTGGTATTTTTAGCTGAATGAGCTTCTTTGGAAAAACAACCCTATCTAAAGAGAAAATGTCCTACTTTCCCTTCAGAGACAGATATTTCCACTTTGGTGACTTGAGCTACAATTCTAGTCAGAATACACAACTGATGTGATGTTTGTTAACACTACAATAGAATTCTTGGCAGCAGTGAACAGCACTAATGATGTCATTGTTTTTCTTGCCTTTTAAATGTCACCTTCCAATGAGTTACTCCTTTTAAGTTCCAAAGCAGTTCCTTGTACTCTAGAACTTGAAAGTTGTTGTACACTACTCAGAACCTCTTCCTGTTTGTGAATTTGCCAGTTTTGCCATTTTTAATCTTTCTTGGGTTTCTCCAAATGTGCATTATCACATTAACGCATTTGTTTCTCATGGCCTATAACCTATTATTAGATGGTTTCTGAATTGTTGTAGGTAAAACAAATAGGCTAACACTATTCCCAATTTTAAAACCTGGGCTGGTGAAGTGGTTCAGGTGGTAAGAGCGCCTGTCTAGCAAGCGTGTGGCCTGGGTTCAAACCCAGTGCTGCCCAAAAAAAATAAATAACAAAATCTGAATTACAGGCCACTAGCAACTTTTTTTTTGAGACAGTCTTGCTATGTACACAAACCTGTCCTCAAACTCCTTGTTCTCCTGTGTCTGCCTCTTGAGTGCTAGATTGCAAGTATGTGCTACATCCTTATAAAAGGAAACCGCTGTGAGTAACTTTTGTTGGAATTTTTTTGTTTTTCAGTGCTCAGGATCAAACCAGGGCCTTCCTTTTCCCTAGTATATATGGCAAGAATTCTCTTGCCTTGAGTATAGTAAGAGAATCTTTTCATTCCACTGAATTTATGGATTTACATAAATTTGATATATTAATTTAGCTTTCCATAAATTAATCTTTTAAGATCACATTCAAATCTTAGAAAGAGATGCATACATTTCTGGCATACACTTCACAAAGCTAAAAGTTGTCATGTGTAATTTTTATCTTTATATGAAGATACATTTTGATTTCTAAATTTAAAAACTGATTTTAAAAACTTACCAGTTGTCTGACATTGCCTCTATACTAGTGATTTAAAGGAAAATATTAAGGACACAATAGCGATACATGGATATGAGAAAAACTGAGTGGGTGATAGATGAATGAGTGAAACTTGAGATAGGAGATTCTAGTCTACACTCATTGCTAGCTTAGAAAAGTGATTCAATTTCATTTTAAGGTAGAATACACACGACTTCTAAGCCTCCATCAACTCTTCATAGAATTTCCTTCAGAGAAAATTAAGATGTGACCTGTTTTTTACATTTAATGTCCTACCTGACACCTGAAAAGAGACATAAGAAGTGTACTAAGACCAAGGCATATGACTGCTTTCTAATCTCTGTTCTCTAACTATAAATTGTGCAAATATTGCCACAAACAATTCATGAAGTGTTACTAATTTCTCTCCAATAGTCTTCTTTACAACTCCTTAAACACATATTTCCTACTCTAAATTTAACAAACAATTTTGGAATATCTTCTCTCAACCAAGTGCTCAGGGATACAAGATAAATAAACTATGGTTTAGCCTGGTGTGGTGGTGCACATCTGTAATCTCAACATTTGGGAGGCAGAAGCAAAAGAATCATAAGTTCAAGGCTGTCCTTGGGTTACATAGTGAGACCCTATGTCAAACAAACAAACTTATTATTCTTGACCTCAAAGAGATATACCTCATTACTCAGAAAACTTATCAACTTTCTCAGCTCCAGTTAAATAGAGATTTGAATAACTTTTGTGTTTCTAAACTATTTACTTAATGTGTAGTGTTACCATATCTACACTGTAACTTAAATACTTCCAAAATATTATCCAGAATGGCTAAAGTTTATACTCTCATCAGAGTTGAGGGGCATAAAGTAATACATTGTTGTTTAAATTTGCATAAACTAACAAGGTTGAGAGTATCTTAATTTATTCATCAATTTGTGAACTGTTGAACTGCTTCTCCATTTTATTTGTCTACTTTTCTACTTAGTCTAACAGTCAATTTTTAGAAGTTCTCTATAAATTTATTTCCAACTTTTTGAGGGGTGTTTGTTTTTGTTTGTTTTTTGAGACAGGGTTTTGCTAGCCCAGGCCAGCCTCAAACTTGCAAGCCTCTTGCCTCAGTTTACCAAGTGCTGGGGTTACAGGTGTGGGCCACCATGCCTGAAGAAGTTCAATATAAGTTTCCCTTCTTTTTTAAAAAAAATGTGATGTTGAAGATGGAAAACAAGGATTTGTACATGCTGGGTAAGCACTGTACCACTGAGCTATATCCCCAACCCATACATTGGTTTTTCTGCAGTTACTGGTGACTGAACTCAGGGCCTCAAGCTTGTTAGGCAAGGACTCTACCTTCTGAGTTATGCCCCCAGCCCTTTCTGCTTTTAGTTTGTTCTTCAGATTGGGACTCCCATTACTTTTCCCAGGCTGGCTTTGAACTGCGATCTTCCTCTCCTTCTAGAGTAATGGAATTATAGGTGTACACCACCTTGTCTGGCCCCATAAATTGTAAATATTGAAGTTGTTTATTTTTAGTGCTGGGGATTGAGCCCCAGGCCTTGCTAAGGACATACTAAGGACACATATCACCACTAGCTCTACCCATAGGCCTTAAATATTG